CCCACACACACACACACACACACACACCTCCTCTCTTTTGTTGAGGCTGTCTGTCACAGCAGAGAAGAGACACACAACAAGTTGTGCACTCACCTGTTGTGTGTCTCTGCTCTGCTGTGACAGACAGCCTCGGAAAGAGAAAGGAGGGGGCAGGGTGTTGTGTGTCTGCCTTTAGTCCCCTTTGGTTATCACAGAGTGGGCCAGGCCCCCTGGTGCTCCTGATGGCCAGTCCGCCCCTCAGCACAATGCTCTGGTTGGTCACCTTCCATTAATCAGCCAATCGTGTGTCGTGTACAGTCTAATGTTGAAAACCCGCGAAAGAGTGAGTCCACGAAAGTCGAACCATGAAGTATTGAGGGATTACTGTATTACAATAACATGGACGAGCAAAGACCTTATATGATATTTGACCTCGATTTGTGACCTTGATCTTAGAATTAGGGAGATGAAAATTTTACGGGACACGCTGTCTACTGGTGGTACAAACGTGTATTAAGTTTTATTAAATTATCTTGAGCGGTTCAGGAGTTATGGTCCGAGAAAGCAAAGACCTTGCATAATATCTGATCTTGATTTGTGACCTTGACCTTGAAGCTGAGGTGTTAAGATTTTGAGACAGGCCATCTATTGATGGTAGAAATTAGTATTGAGTTTTGTTAAATTATTTTGAGCGGATCAGAAGCAACGGATGGAACGAGCAAGGACTTTATTTCAATGTTGACCTTGATTTACGACTTTGACCTTGAAGCTGGGGTGATGAAAACACGACGCTCCGTCAAGTGATGATCCATATGTGTTTGAAGTTTTGCTCAATTTTCCTGTGTATCAGACGTTATGGTCTGGACAAGAGAGAGTTTATGGATGTATGGCAACTATAGCAACTTTCGACAACGTATAAAAATTTATGAAAATTTTCTGTGTCACCATTAAAAATGTTCTATTTTAAAAGTCAGCTGTGCAGCATTGCTCCCAGTCTGTTAGTTAAATTTACAATTTGTTCATGAAGTGCAAAATATTTTAAATCAGTTTTACCCGGACAATTATCTTTACCACATGTCAGTGAGCAGGATGTTCATGTCCAGCTCATTTAAGATTATAATAAATAATACTGAGTTGGTATATTCTGTAAACAGTTAGTGTATCAGTGCATCTATTTAAAAGCGAGGAGAAGGAAACTCACCCACAGTGAGTAATCACACTTGAACAGAGCTAGTTACGGCGACATTTCAAGCAAAACTGAATTTTCTGCTGAATTTTTAGATTTTCTTCGAAAAGTCGAGCAAGACTTCCCAAGTCCTGCAGCCCCCCCACCCCCCACCCCCAATGAAATATAAATTGTTTTATTCCTTCATTTTCCAATGGATTAAAGCTGTGCTCACCCGTGTCCATAGTTTCCACTTTATAATCCTTTCAAAATAAAATTTGATAATACAAAGAGCTGTTAGGATGCTTCAATTTGAAGTTTTCCCCCTTTTTATTCTGGGAGTTTGGGTGGTGGAGGCTAAAAAAAAAAAAATCATGTGGGAAGCAATTTCCAGGCGTTGGAGTAAATACTTTTTAAAAATCAACTGCGATGGTGATAGATTGTATTCATTTTGAAAATTCAGCCATTTTGACTTCAGATAATTGAAAAATCACTAGTGCTCATCCCTTGCTACTCCAGGTGCTCCAGGCTGAACAGGAAGTGCTGCAGCTAGCTGCTGCTGTTTGTTCTTGCAGATTACCACAGATTTCCACGTTACTTCCAATGCAATACAAAATATTACTTTAATAAAACAGTACTTGTATGAAACACTAATATTTTTACGAGATTAGTCATCATAAGATGAAAGAAATGCACTTTGTTTCATGTTTAGAGCCCAGTCAGAATTTAACTTTATTTAAACTGAGGCTGTTCAAAGATATCTACAACAGGTAAGATATTAACTGTTTATAATCGTTCCACTTTAACAGTGAATTGCAGTCAAAGCTGTTATTTTATGGTTAAATATGAGTCTATTCATTAGCATGAATTCAGGGCATTGACGTAAATCACTGCAGAAGTTTAAAAGGCTAAAATTAATTTAATGTTTGCATTTTTTACCTTGTTCTCGAGACGTCCGATCAGTTCAGCCAGGCGGTTGATCTGAGCCTCCAGACCTTCTTTCCTCACCTCCACTGCACCTGCAAAGAACGCACAAGTTGCACTTAATAAAACAATTTTAATGGAGAAAACAGCAACGTGGGGAAAAAACTAAATAACTTCTGGTTTCTAATGTGAGTTGGGTTTATTCAAATACATGCAGAATCATTTCCATCATGCACAATGAAGCAGCAGCTTTATGGACCTTGTCGTTTCTTACTTTTTATTTTTGCTGTTTTATCCTGATATTTTCAAGCACAGGTGACATTTGGAAAAAGGCTAATAAAACATTGATGATGCGTCTTTATTGGCAGGAAGTGAAGACGTTCAGAGACTGAAGAAACGGGCGGATGTGCAGCCCACTCTCTTTGAGGTGCTTCATTTAACTGCAGCGCTATTTAAATGTGACTTTTTGAGGCGTCCGCACAGACTTCCTCCCAATTATTTCACAAACTGACGGTTACCTTTGGCACCGAATGTTTGCTTTTGTTTAAGCAGTACCTCCGATAGATGAGCGTGTCAATCATTCTCTTTATTTTCTTATAATCAGGCAGCAGCACAGAACAGAGGGACAGAGATGATTATGTACATAATATGTATGTGGGTGGATTCAAACAGGAGAGTTTCATTTGGACAGGTTTTATTTATCAGACAAAATAAACATGGACGACTTTTAAATATGACGACAAAACTCAACTGCTGCAGGATTTTTCCTTCACAGCTCAGAACAAAGACGACTCTGCAGAATTAATTCATAAAGTTTACCTGAAGAGTTAATTATTCTACTGACTGATAAAAACAAACTTTAATTCCTGAGAAGTTAGGATATATATATATATATATATATATATATATATATATATATATATATACACACACACACATGCATACATTTATTGCTAGCACCACAAAAATATGGTTTGGCTTACAACTTTGCTCACTAAAAAATTGGAGAATGTTTATATTTGTACAATTAGATTTGCTGCAATAGTTTTATCCCCCATAGCTGAAAGGCAAAAATGTGTGTGTTAGCAAAATATCTCAAACCAGAGGACAGATTGGAGGTGAAAAAAGTTATCACTGGATGAACATCTGCAACTATAACTTTTTTTTCTATAATAATCAAAGCTAATTTTTGCTTTTAGCAGCAGTATTGCTTTACCTACATTTTACTTTTTAAACTTTAGCTATGATTTTGCTACATTGACTATCTTGTACTGAGTTCAGCTTGTAACTCTAGTTTTGCTACTTTTACCTACAGTGTACAGGTAGTTATGTTAGCTTACTGCTGTTTTGGCTACACTTTTGCCAATTTTGGCTTGTAGCTATGGTTTAGCTAATTTCAGATTTTAGCTTAAATTGAGCTAATTTTAGCTTTGAAGAATGGTTTTGTTCATTTTAGCTTGTTGGTTTTAGCTTGTGTTCTGATTGTTTTAACTCAGTTTGGTCAATTTCAGCAGTCGTTCAGCGCTCAGCATTCACTGTGTTTTTGCAGAAAATAGAACGTCTCTAATTCTTTGGTCCTTTTTCACACTGAAGTCTCTCAGATGATCTTTCCCCCTCCCCCCCACCCTTCCCCAACAACCAGCCTCTTCTCATCCTGAAGGCCGAAGCTTCATAAATTGGAGCCCAGGCCACCCACTCTTCATTAAAAGCTTTAACAGCCAGTCAATTAGAAACAAGCTCCCTGCACACTGAACACACACACACACACACACACACACACACACACACACACTAAACCATTGTCTGTAGCCTGGGAGACGGACGCAGATGAAAGCAGGTCATTTCCTCAGACTTGAGGAAAAAAGTGTTCGGCGGCAGCAGCTCGCTCTGGTTCAGCAGCAGAGTGAAGAGTCTCGGCTGATTTCATCCTCAATTAAACTCGATTTAAAGCCTCAACATTTGCTTCATTTAACTTTTTGATTCGTGTCACACAACATCCAGTCTCCTGCCGTCCAACAGAAAACCATGTTTACTACGTTTTGAATAGAGGCTAAACAAACATTGTTTTTGTGAACAAGGGGGCGGGACTTGTCTTTTAAAATGGATCCTGTGGTGCAGGTGAATCAGACACGTGCACGGCAGCGCTCCTCCAACAACACAAATGTCAAATGTCCAGGTCGAATCTCCATGCTGACGAAAGAATTATGGAAAAACTGATCCATGTCGTTTTCATTGCACAAGTGTACCCCGGCATATTAAACTATAGATGTGGGGGCGGCTGCAGACGTGGATATGAAGCATTATGATGTGGGCCGAGGTGAACAAAATGACGTGCAGTTTTACAAGCCGTACACACAACAAAACGCACATTTTAAAAACCAGGTCATTGTAAACGTGGCTGCGTGGCCTGCTGGTCACTTGGCTGAAAACACTCAGACGTCAATGAGACTGAAAATTTAGAAATTTCTTGTAAATTTTCTCACAGTTTTTAGAGATGAATCTTAGAGCTAGAGTCTATAACGATACGTGGAGTGGTCATTTTGTACCTGATGGTCTGAAATGTCCACAGCTGGAGATGAAATGAGGGTACGATCTGACCCTTCTGTCAGGCTTTACGCTGAGCAAGCAGAAGGTAAAATGCTCATCAAACCCTCTGTTTGGAAAGTTTAGACTACACTACAACCACTTCCTGTTTTATGATGAGTTCACAGACACTCAAATATATTGGAAGCCCAAGCTCGATATATTTATGACACATTCTCTGATTCTAAGGTGTCACGAATTATTGTGCCACAGACAAATAAAACCCAAGATGACTGTTCTTTATATATACAGTAGTCCATCGCTACTTCGCTGTTCATTTATCGCGGATTCGCTCTATCACGGTTTTTCAAAATAAGTTTGGACGTGACACACAAATGGCTGACTGATGGATGGGCCGCACCATCGGCATGGGATTTTTATTTAAAATAAATTATTTAAAATTATTTAGCACCTGCTGCAGCTTTGTGCAGCCCATACTGCAGGAGAAACTTCCTGCTGCAGCGGATCAGCTGTTCTCTGTGCAGAATGGAGGAGTGGGCGTGGCCAAGAAGGCTTGCAGAAGGAAAAGAGCAGTGGAGGCACAGGGCTGAAATCATGACATTATGTGCTCTTTTAGAGCATTTAGAGTTTAGAAACTTTGTTTAGAATATTGCAAGAGTGTGGGAAGGGTTTAAAACACATTTATATATATATATATATATATATATA